GTTTCATATGCCAATGAATATTTCTCCTCTTTCCTATTCCCTCTCTGAAGCACAATTTTCCAATATTATAGCCTCATTACAGGAAATAAGCAAAAACTGGACTGTGCAAGCATAGACAGCAGTAAGAACACCTTAGTCCATTTGTAAAAATGTTTCCTGCAAGGAAACACTGGTTCAACCAGCCACAATGCTAGAAAAATGGTCAGACCAAACCACAGAAGAGTTTTGCTCTCTGAAGTTAATTTCTACTGGTTAGATGCTATCAAAAATCACTCTGCTCAGAGTTAAAGAAATTAAGCTTAGGGGATGTTTATTCATAATTTAAGCTGGTTAATAATAGAAAAAGTAATGTGGAGAGACACAGACACACTCCATTTCCATTAAAGTAATAAAGATTGTGATTATATGCCCATACTTCATGCTAGTAAAAACCTAGAGGTTTTAAGGCCAGACCTTGCACTTTCAAGTGTCTGTGTTTTAAAGAGAAATATAGACTTGTAAATGTTATTCAAGGTGTCAGATCATTCAAATGCCATTTAAAAGATCCTGGCAAGATCCTTCTTAGGACTACTTACAAGCCAAGACATGAAGCTAAATCACAGCTCCTGTGATAGGACAAGCCCCATGGAGACTCTCCCAGAATTTCTGGTCCTCTCTTCTATCACTTTTCTACTCTTTGGTGTGCTATATTTTCAATATTTTAAAAAAAAATTCATTTACTATAATAAATGCTACTCTGTCTTTTTTCCTGACTAAATGAAATGTTTTAAAAATAGCTTTTAAAAGGTCATTACTTTCATATTTGCTTCTGCAAGCTCATTTAAGTATCATAAACAGCTAACACTCCGTTCTAACCCACAACATAAACCAATTATGTTATTACAGGAAAACTTTGGGCAAGGGCACACAATAATTCATTTCAATTAATGAGCTCTATCCTTTAATATTTGGTGTCTAACATTCCTCCTTGCATATTTCTAATTAATGGAGCTCCATCATACCTGCAAATATGTGGTTAATAAATACTAATAAGAGCCTTATCAACTCCGGAAACTTTTCTGAATATCAGCAGAACTTTAAAATATTAACAGGTATTTTAAAATATAGATAAGCAGATAAATTTCTTTTCAGGGTAACCAGTATATTATCCAACTCACTATGTAGACAAATAAAGGGAAAATGGAAGAAATCAAAGATGCCTAACTGTATTGCAAAGAGGAAACAATGAGATTCTATCCACATTTCTTCTCCTTGACCATGTTGTACCACCAGAAAAAAACTATAAACCACTTCTTATTGAATCTGATTGAATGGGCTATAAATAGTCACTTTAAAGATATACATGGGAAATAGTTTTCCTGGGAAAAAAAAGAGTTGAAATCAAAGAAGACAAAGGACAAAATACATTCCTAGCTCAAGGAGCAAAGACGTTTGGAGCAGAAAACTATAAAAATTAAAATTTTTAACTTTTTCTTTGTTTCTTTTTTTTTTTTTGTCAAGTTCTCAGTCAAAAGAGGCTATACATTTTGAGGACCAAAACTAGAGAAATCCTGTCTGGAAAAGATGTCCTTGTAGACCCACAGCTCATCTTCCCTGTGCTCCTCAGTGATCCTGCAGCTCACACAGGATCCACAAAGGGAAACCTGGCACACTTTTTTGCTTTATTTGTTTCTTAACATGCATTTGTTTGAATTTTCCTGTGCTGTGTTTTTTTGCTTTATTTGTTTCTTAACTTGCATTTGTTTGAATTTTCCTGTGCTGTGTATGCTTTCAAGAATAAAATGAAATACTTAGTTGTTTGCAACAAGTCTATAAAATAGTATAGACCAGATTAAATAAAAAATACCAAAAGCAGCAAAATGCTTTTCTCCTTTGGGAGATGGGGAAGGAGTAGAAGACTGAAATGCAAAGAGGCAACTGATTGATATTTGAAGAAAAAAATCAATTTCAAGAGAATTAATACCTAGTTACTGAAGGAAAGGGTGATTGCATAGGAGAGAAATAAAAAAATAGATTTCAAAGAGAAAATATAACTAAGGGTGTGACTTTCTAAAGAGAGTTAAGAGCAATACACAAAAATTTCAAGGGGTAAAGTGGTAGAATTGTGAAGTAAGAAATATTTATATTTGTGGCAAGCACAAAAATAGAAATCATTAGAAACTGCTGAGGAAAAGAGGCATCTTCTTTTACCAGAAATTTTATGACTACAGAACATGTGATGAGTTTCAAAAGAATCAACACTTAAAATAAATGCATGAAGAAATGAAGCCCAAGAGTTGAATGTGTTTTCTGAAGAACAGCACGTCCCGAGCCCTCCACGGACCAGGAGTGGGGCTTGGTTTGGTGCTAACAAACAGCTGCCCCAAAGCAGAATCCTCAGAGCATTTACTGGGGGAAACGTTGGGAGAAGATGAATGTTTACAGCAAATGCACTTCATTTTCCAACTGGAACCTCCTCAGCTCCTCCCAGCCCCAGCCCCTGTGCTGCAGCCCCTGTGGCTGAGGCCGCAGAGCAGTGGGAGGTGAGGAAAGGAGGACGAGGACAGTGGGTTGGGATTGGGGGCACAGGATCCATGTCTGGGAAATGGCTGTGGAGGAGGAGCAGGAGGTTCCTTTGGGTGGCTCTTGGGAATTGTAACAGATAAAATGCTTTCCCTTTCTTCATTTTTAAAGAGATTATGTGAAAGTATATCTCTGAAACTGTTTCGGGTGTCCACACTGTCTGGATTTGAAGTTGTGTGGCCAACAATAATTAAAAAAATACAGGAAAGTCATAAAGGCTGATAAGAGTTTGGGAGCAGCAGCACTGAAAATGAAAATCCATGAGAGATCACTAGTGCAGTAACACCCTTAGGTTTATCTAAGAGTGTTAACAGCTAACAGGATAGAGAGTGCAACGTGTCGAGGCAATGAAGTTCTAAATACTGAACACATGGAAAGTCACTGTTACATATTCCAGCAATATTCACATCCATCACTTCCAGGAAATCCATGAGAGGACCATAAAACACACAAGTTTTGTTGCTCTGATAGTTATTTCCAGATTAAATATTTATAGTTTCAAATTTCCTCTGGTTGTAGCAATGGTTCTTCCTATAGATGTTCTGGAGGAAATAGCTAACATCATGATGCAATATGTGACTTTCCACATTTTGCATTTCAAAAACGTTTACTTGTAAGTATCTATTTCTACCTTTGAATTTGCAGAAATATTTTTTCTGCCAGCAAAATAAATCTTTCCTTGATTTATTTTCACAGAAACAATAAGCTCATGAGCTGTGTTAAAGCTTTTTCTTAAGGACAATAGGAAAAATGAATGCTCTCCCTGGCTCTGTTTCAGTTTCAAGCCTTTTTTCTTTTCCACACGAAATGTTCCAAAGCAGCTTTCCAGGATGCAAACACAAAACCATACATACATCTAAAGCTTGGTGGGTTTGCAATTGCTAGAGGGTTGCATAGTTGGTCTTCTTGAAAATAAAAGCTGCATTTAAAAGTATGAAGATTATTTTGGTGCTGTGCTGCAATGCCTGTGTATATTTATAGCAAAATCTAGTCCAATCCCCCTCCACATTGAATATTATCTCTCTGCTCATTTACAAGTTACAGAGATGCATTTTTAGCTCCATAAAGAAATCACCATTACTGAACAACATTATCTAAATGTTAAGGGCATCTCTCATGTTGTGTGTGCCCATTATTGATATTTGATTAGGTGGTGTATAACTACCTTGCCATCTTAATGGGAACAGGGTGAAAAGCTTAATATGCAAGAGATGTGGAAGGAAAAGGTGAGTTCTGGACATATTTACTGTGGAGCACCTTGTAGACTTGATTTGATTCATTTCTTTGTTTCAAACTAACGTAAGTCAGGTGCAATGACTTCTGACTCCATACTAATGACAGTGACTGCAAGGAGCCAGAGAGGGACTCTGTTAATAACTGCAGGGACAGGACAAGGGGCATTGGGTTCAAACTGAAGGAGGGAAATCGAGGTTAGATATTAGGAAAATGTTTTTTCTGTTCTGGTGGTGAGACCCTGTCCCAGGGTGCCCAGGGAGGCTGTGGCTGCCCCAACCCTGGCAGTGTTCACAGCCAGGTTGGATGAGCCTTGAGCAACCTGCTCTGCTGGGAGGTGTCCCTGCCCAGGGCAGGGCTTGGGGCTGGGTGAGCTCTAAGGTCCATTCCAACCCTTAAATTCTATGAATTCAACTCAGAGAATTAATTGACAATGTGGATGCTCATATGAATTACAAATACATCTTGGAACTTGTTCCTCCCTATTTGCCACTTATTTTCAGATAAGCAGATAGGAGGTTCAAAGAAGTTCAGAGAAGTCAGTTGGAGCTCTATGCTGTTTCTGATGTTTTCTGTTCTTAGTGGAGATGCAATGCATTTTCTTTGGATTTGGTACCTCAAGGTTTTGGAATTATGTTTCAATATATGTTTAAAGTTCTCTGTCCCTTGACTTCTTCATATTAACTCATAGTCCATTTCCTCTTCAAATAATACAGTAAAAGAATGTCTGAATGTCACTCATTAAAAAGTGTGCTCCATTTAACCTTCTTTCTTTAAAAGCACATTAAATTCACAGTTTGACATGCCTTAGAGGAGGAAATAACCAAACTTGGGGTTTTTTGTTTAAGCTTATGTTACAAAATGATTAACTTAAAACCAGATTTTCCACACCTTGTATCACTCAGACCTACTTTCACTCTCACAGTCAAACTGTAATCCTGTTGAAATACTTGAAAATTAATAGATCCTAACAGAAAAAAATACACAAGATCACCCATAATATTAATAGAACTTGACAAAATCTGATACAATTCAGAACAATTTCCTCACATGTATCTTACTCCTGTCATTAGCAAGACTGATGGTACAGGAAAAACTCATATACACAATTTAAAATGATATCAAAGCCAAATAATTAAACCCTTTCTTGTGTTTCATTTACAATATAAGGGGAAAAATAAAATCAAAGTACAAAACTGGCTTACTTCCAGTATGATCAGCATGTAGACACCTACTAAGATGATGGATGCAATTGTTACTTGTGCCTCTATGTTTGCATGAAGGTATTGGTGCTTCATGGAGAGAGGAACACTTCCAGACTCTTGTAGGAAGGCTTGAATGTTTATGAAGATGGTGCTTCTGGTGAAAGAAAAATCAGATTTGTTTACTCCTGGAATGAACTACCATGAGTTCTATTTGTGCATTAATTTTACATTGAGTACCTATAGATGTATATGTGTATATATGTGTGTGTGAAAATTTAGATATATATATAATAATAAATATTATAATGTATACAGACATACATAAATACATGTATATCTTTACAATTGCAAGCAACTCCTCAAACATTTTCACTCTCTCTCCCTCTGATTAGTATTGTCCTGAAAGTAACTCAGATACAAACCAGCCTTGTAAATCCTTTTAGAAAGCAACAAGAAGTTGTCCTTTCCTGCCCCTCTGAAACAGGCAGTGATAGATTATTCTGAAAACATTACTTATTCCTTCAGAGTCAAGTCTATGTAAACTACAACTTCAAGGGATCAATTTTCAGTGTCATAGCCAACCTGTTGGGTATCTGAAAGGTTCTAGTTGTGATGATTTGCTGATTTCTTCTTGAACTTAAGGGTAGAGACCAGTTGTACACCACCTGCAAGAGAGTCACATGTGGCAATATTAGCAAAAGTCAGTGAAAGTGATGTCTGTGATCTAGGGTTTTATTCTTCTTTTGCTCTCTCATGTCCATTTAGGTTAACATTTTTGTGGGTCAGACATAACACGCACTGGCCTAAATTAATTCCCTCTGATTAGGTATGTTACAGACACTCAGGTTGGAGCAAACAGGTCCAAGGGGAGGCTGAGGGGCAGGCACTGACCTCTTCCCTCTGGTGACCTGTGGCAGGACCCAAAGGAATGGCATCAGCTGTGTCAGGGATGTTTAGATTAGCTAGAAGGAAAAGGTTCTTCAGCCAGAGGATGGTTGGGCACTGAAACAGGTTCCACAGGGAAGAGGTCACAGCACAATCCTGACAGAGATCAAGAAGTGTTTGGGCCAAGCTCTCAGGCACATGGTGTGATTCTCAGGGTTGTCCTATGCAGGACCAAGAGTTGGATTTTGATGACCCTTGTGGGTCCCTTCCAGCTCAGGATATTCTAGGATTCTACGAAACTCATCTACATCCCAAAAATCTTCAGAAAATAAACACTTTCTGAAACTTTGCCCATTAGAACACATTGATACTCATGCAAGTTGAGCCAAATACACTCTTTAAATGTAGATACAGATATTGTCTCTTTTTTTTTAAGCACAGGAACCTAAAACAAACCTGCAAATTTTGTTAATTATAGCCTAAATCCTAAGCCTGTCCTGACTCTGTATGCTCAAAGTACAGGAAAAAACCTAACCAGCTTCATTGGCTACCCTGGAAGGTCTGACACAGATGCCTGGTGGACATGCAAAGAGGGAAGGTTCCTTTGGCCATGCCAGGGCCTGTGCCAGCAGAGGTGGCTGCTGCACCAGCAGCACAGAAGCTCTTTGGGGATCACTTCCAGCAGCACAAGTTACAGCAACCTCCTCCTCATGAGGGTAGGTGGTTTAAGAGGGTCATTGCCATTAGGGTATTGTTCTCCATGCTGAGGTAGTGGGACTGGTCTTTTGCTGTAGACTGAGATTGGTGTAAGCAGGAGCTGGTGGCACTGCCCAGCTGAGCTGTCTCTGGGGGAGGCAGATCATCCCATCCCCTGTACAGAAGGAGAGGCAGTTGTTTGTATGGCAGTGCCATTTATTAAATGGTGAGGTGGTATACAGTGCCAGGCTGTAAAAGACTGTCTTTCACCAAATTGTCTGGGAAGAGCAGCAGGAACCTGCTACAAACAACATCAACAATGAGAAAGCCTTGAGAGAAATCAAGCCGATAAATGTGACACGTTTGAGAAAATAATTTGCAACAAAATGTGAAAATGTATTTCAGTGGGTGCAAAAAAGGCACTTCACACTTTTTCTTCCTTCAAAGGCAACTTTTGAAACATTGCCAGTTTGAAACACAAGAACTCCCATGCTATGTGTCAGCCAAGAGGTGTATGTTTTACAAAATTTTAATATAGGAACCCAAGGGAAGCCTTAGAAAGGCAAAAGAAAATGCAGCTTTACTCTTACTGTGATAAGTTTTCAAATGCTGAAATTGATACACTTCACAACGGGAAAAAGCACAACCACTTAATCCACACATGGTGATGGAAATAGAAGTGATAAAACACATCTCAGAAAAAGTGAAAGGAAATGTAAAGGCTGTCACCTGCTGCTGGCGCCTCCTCCTTGCTCCTGTGTCATCATTCTGGCTGATCTGCACCACAATGTGTTCCTCTGTTTGCTCATCATCTCCCTGTGCTCCAAAGGGGCCTCCTATGTCTAACTTCAGGAGAGCAGAATCACGAGAGTCACTCAGATTCATAGCTGGCCATAAAGTTGTTAAGGTGTGAATTTCCAGTAAAAATTAGTAGAGGCTGTACAAATTCCAGGAAAAATAAAGATACTAGTCGATTGATATTGAAAAAACATTCTTCAGCTAAAATGCTTCGGACACTGTGGAAAGAACAAAATAGATGTCCAGTCCCTCACCAAGCAGCACTGCTTTGGCCAAGCCACCTGAGAAAGCAGGAGGTGAAAGTTCGGAAGGAAAATATCTTTCCTAGTGACTTTTGAGATCACCAGTGCTTTCAGCTGATACTGTAGATGTATCAAAGCTGCAAAATAGCATAGAGAAATATACAGGGAGACAGAGCAGTAAAGCTCTTTAAGTGCTTGTACTGGATGAAAGGCTGCACCATTAGCTCTGCAATTTAAACACTGCAGAATTTGTACAGGTGAAAACACAGGGAACCACAGGGAACACTAGGTGAGAATCAACATCCTATTCATGCCAGAGGATTTGCTTTTTGGTCAAAATTTTACTTACATTTCAAATATCTGAAAGATATTTTCAAGCTCCTCTCAGCTGAAGTACTCACAGATGCTTTTACCTCCATCTCCCTCATCAACTTTTTGTTTTTTCCTCCTTAGATATCTCACATGAGGTGTGGTCAAACCACATTCCTAGTCTAACACAACTGAGAAATCACTCAACCATGACCCACAAATCTGTTGGAAGTCTGGCTCTATCAGTCCAAATACATCAAGGACCATTCAAACCCAGCACTGTACCAGTTCACTTCTGGTGTGGCTGGGAACAGCAGCATCCCTGTGGATTGGCAGGGGGAAAGGCTAAGATTTCATACCCTTCAGTGTGTCTGTTACTAGAACAGAGCTCTACTGCAATTGGTTTTGCTCCTCTCTCTGACAGATAGAAAGCTAAGGCATCACACATACACACAAAAAAAAGCCTAAGAAGGGAATAGAAGATACTTGATTTTACACAAATATGTTCTGTTGAAATCATGAGATTTAATCCTGTTTGAGTACCTTAGTGGTTGTAACGTCTAATATTTTACTGAGCATACGACAAATAGTGAGTCTGTTAAGAAAAAAAATAAATTACAATATCACATACCTACCAACATGATTTTCTCAGAAAGATGCTTTGATGCCCACAAAACTCAGAGATTTTGACAGGAGAATTAAAACCCACAGTGTATTTAGGGAGGACAGAGGGCAGTGCTGTGCCCTTCTTCCAGTGAGCTCCAGTAAGGATATCCACGTTAGGTCAGTGTCTGATGGGAAAAGCTTTGTGACATTTTCCAAGGGTCCTTCATCTCTCAAAGAGTTGCTGCTTAAGTCCACATTCCCAGCAGGAGAACTGGATCTAGAGCAGAGTAACCTCTCACAGAACCCCAATGTGCTGGGTTTGGCTGGGGTAGAGACAGTTTTCTTCCCAGTGGTTAGTATGGGGCTGTGTTTGGGTTTGTGCAGAACACAGAGTTGATAATGCAGAGATGATTTGTTATTCCTGAGCAGAGCTCACACAGAGCCAAGGCCTTTGCTGCTTTCTGTCCTGCCACACTGGGGAGGGAGTTGGGGGTACATGGGAGATTGGGAGGAGACACAGCTGGGACAGGTGACCCAACCTGACCCAAGGGATATTCCACACCATAGCACATCATGCTCAGGGGATAAGGTGAGAAGGAGGGAGGGAGGCCTAGGAGATCTAGTGTCAGGTGCATTTAGTTGAATCACATGGGAAAGGATAAAAAGATAACATCACATGCAACAAATCAGGAGACCAAGTCCACCAGGAGAATTTACATACACAACCCTTAGCAAACATAAATAGAAATTCCAGTGGTTCTCTTCTGGTTCTAGAAGGTTTAAGTGTGATTTGTCACCACAGTTTTTCTGTGTCCTAATTGATACATAATAATACTCTCAACAGGAACCATAGCTATACCTTTAACTAGAGACATTAATTATACCTTCTAAAAGGTCTGCAGACCTGAAGTCATTAACCCAGTGATTTGGGACAACCCTTGAGTCTGCCTTTTACTAGAGTGTAGCCATTTATGTCTTGAAAATATTCAGCTGCATATGATTATGGCAGATTCCTTTTAAGCAATACTTTTAAAATAAATCCTGTAATTACCTAGATGAGACATTCAGGAGCTATTAGAAAGGATGCTTAAAATTAAAGGGGAAAAACTGAAACCTTATTTTCAAGAAGAGTGGCTCCTTCCTTCTTTTCCTCTAAAGATAAGGATACTTAGAAGTTTTTCCATTCCATTCTGTGTGCTTATAAAACCATCAGAAAGAGCCACAGCAAAGAAAAGAGGTTCTCCTTTGATGGCAAGTGGAACAGAACATCATTCACCAGTCTACACTGAGGCTCCAAAATCCCATCAGAGTTACCTCTCTCCAAACAGTATTTAGAGACTCTGTCATAATTCCATTGTTAGACTGCAGCAGATCTCAGCCTTTGTGAAAGGTGGAATCAAAATAAACCCGAACAAAACTTCAGACATGCTCATATGAATCAAAATGCACTTTTTTTATCAAGCTGCTCTTCAGAATATTTTTGTTCTGCCTTACCTTGGTATTATATTCCCCTTCAGTTGCCAGAATGTGATTTCCCCTATATTTTAATCACTCAGATATGACTAACTTTTAGGAAAACTCTCTTTTTACTTCCAGTATCCCTTTCCATTCTGTGACCTATGTGTGCTTTTTCTTTTCTGAACTTTTTTTTTTTTAACATGACCTTCCGTGCATCCCTTTAAAGCAAACATCTCCCTGACTAGATTTACAGCCTGAGATGCTATTTTATATTTCACTTCAGCCAAACTGCCTGATTTTGATGTAGTTCTATTCTTTCAATTACATTAGTGCTGTGATTAGCCTGTCCAGGGTTTGGGTTTGCTTCGTGACTGTATTTACACCTGGCACCAGGCTGGGCCTGCTGCTCACAGATAAACCAAGAGCTGTTTTCTGATCTTGGTTTTCTGACTAGCTACTCCTACAAGGGATTGAAGAGTGTGTGAGAGTCACCTCATGTTACTTTGCCTTTCTGTGGCTTATGCAGACAACCTGATAGAATGGGATACAGTGGCTAAACATTTAAATTGGGATTCGTTCGCTCCAGTTTATACTCCTACACAGTGGACATCTGTGTCTGGGTTGGATGTGTCCCTAAAAGCAGAGGAAAGAGGTGCTTTTAGGATGGACTTCATTGCTTCATTTTAGACTTCATTTTACACGAAGATGAGAGGACTCAGCATGAGAAACATCCCTTCTCTCCATTAACTCTGGAGTGGAGGATGACTAACTCGGTAGCTGAGATGAGTCACTCCCCAAAAACTGAGTCCCTGCTCTAACCTCCAGCACATAATTCATTCAGTGTGTACAGCCAAAAACCCACATTTGAGAATGCTATGTCTGTTGATTATTTTCACCAAGTTTCTGAGGTGAATATTCTATTCACCCTGATTTATGACCAGGCCACTTATGCTGGATTCTGTAGGATATTCCCATTTTAAAGAAGATCTTCTGGCTGGGTCTTAGCATCCATTTCTATTTATTGTCCTTAACTGAGCCAATTTCTGCATCAGAGTTTGTGGTTTTCTCTTTTGCTATCCTATTCCTGTTTACAGCATTTCTACAACATCCCTTCACAATACAAGCTGAACCACGTAGCATTTCTACATCATCCCTTCACAATACAAGCTGAACCACATGCTTCTCTGCACCTATTGGTTTCTCCATCTGAAGAATGTCTGATAACTGGGGGGTTTTCCCCTTTTTGGAACATCAGCAATCTGTTTCCAGTTTTGTATACACTGTACCATCCATTTCTCTCTGTGCTCTGTCAGTTTTAGAAGCTTTGTGAGTCCTCAACAAATTCTTTTCTACTGCATTTTGTCAATTGTGCCTTAAGATTCTGCTTCTTTGTCTGCCTCTGCATGTGGTCCTGGTCTTCATCCATCTATTTAACAGCTTGAACATTGCCTGCAGGCCAAAATGCTTGGTACATTTCCAGCAACATCAACAAACAGAAATGATTTTTAAATGTTTTCTGCAAGTTAAAATTATGGAGGAGTAGACAGTAGAGAACTAGAGTTACAAAATAAGAAATAATTCAAAGAGGAAAAAAACCTAAAGAGATTAGAGAGGTTGTTTCATTCATTAAGTGAATTTATGCTCCCTGGGAGCAGAACCTGATTTTAGGACCTCCAAGGAAGCTGAAAGGGCTGCTAAAATTTGACTCTATTCTTTGCTTCATGGTCTTTCTTTCAATATACACATACACACCTCTAGTTCAGGGAGTGGGAAAGGTTATTTTCTATGTCACTAATGGTCATGGCATGATTGCAAGTTTTCCTAACGACCATTTTTTCCTTCATGATTGACACAGTTGCACCAATCATTCAAACCCATGCAACTTTAGCAAGGACAGTTAAACATCTTTTGTCTGCTTAGTCTAGAGACTCTCCACCAAATTCCATATGTAGAATTCTTCTAAATAGCTCCACTGAATCCAACTGAAATGAGAAATCTAGCCTGTGATTTAAATTCAGCATATTTTTACTATTGAGATACATATCCTACTTTCTGAATTTGAGATCCTAATCCTGGACTAGAAGTGATGAAATCTCCCAGAGCTGCTGGGGAGGGAGGGATGTCAGTGAAAATGGTCACTGCCTAGTCAGTTTGGTATCTCTGGTTTTGTCTGGTTTGGACTGACAGGAGACCCATTCAACCACGTCTTCAGGTTGTGTATTTTTGTTCAGTTTTGTTTCGAATGCAAAGAGCAAGTGAGTAAGGAACTCTTCACACTGGTGCTGTGCAAATATTTACTTTGCAAAATGTCAGCCTCTGCTCCAAAAATTTCAATGAGGAGGTATCAAATGCTTTAACAATCAGATCAGGACTGAAAGGCTTTAAAATTTATCTATAAAAATGAAAGATCCTTGGCCAGACTCAGAAACAATTCACAATCCACTCCCCAGCTGAAGTTCTGACAATCAGTCTGAGAAAGGAAACTGAAATTGCTTCACCCACACTGATCTAACTTTCCCTCACTTATAACAGGAATGGGCCCAAGTACAGAGACTGAGAGGGAAGAAAAAGAGATTGCTCCTGAAGCACCTCTCAGGGCAGAGCAGAGATGGAAACTCCCAGCTCAGCGAGGCAGGTGTGAGACCCATTGCACAGAAATGTGCTGGGAGATTTGCTTTTTCTTGTAAAAAGAAAATATCTTTTCTGTCAAGAAGTGTAGGAATAGCAATAACTGTAGCAGCTACAGTGAAAGAAATAAGGCATCGTATTAGGGAGACAGACACTTCTTTAAATGACAGTCAGGTAGTTTACAGTTTGATTGCATAATTCCTTAAGAGCATCCATGATTCCCCATGACATTTTAATTTCATAAAGCCCAGTTCAATTCAAGAAGTTGGTGCATAGATCTGCTCCAGTTGTCTGTCCCTCATTGCTGAACAAGTTTAAAACTTGCTTAGATCAGGGCAGTAGTTATTAGAATCAAAGGAATGAACACAGAGTCTATTTAGCAATTCAGATTTTTCAGGTCTGTAAACCTATGTAAGTCCTGCCAAACATGAATATTTCTCATTCACTCCTTGGTCACTCAGTTAATGGAGAGAAGATACCTGAAGGTCTGAATGGTCCAACAGTTAGAGAAAATCAGAATGGTCACGTCTTAGAATAGGTACACATAAATAACCTATGAGATGTTGGAATTTATTCAGACTCTATAGCTCTTTTTCTGTATTTTTATTATCTACTCATGCTCCTCCCCTTAACATCCAGCCTTTGAGCCAAAGATCTGAAAAAGCTTCACACATTTACATGGACAGGGGTATTGAATCTTGCTTCCTGCAGATTGGGTCCTCTAGCCAGGCTTCAGTATAAATCTACTCCTCTCTGGGGTTACAGCACTGACTGTTAGAATTTATAAGCCAATAAATCCCAAGTGTTGTCAAAAAGAGACAATCTTATCACTCTTTTGAAAAACTATACTAAACCTACTGATCCACTCCATTTATATCTGGTGTCTATAGAGAAATCAGTATTAAAAAAAAAACAACAAACCACTACACAAAAAGTTACAGACTCAGAAAGCTTCTAGCAATACGCAGGAGGCAAGATGTTGTTTGCAGCATCTGCAGCCAGCACACCTCAGGTTTGTACCCATGAGGCTGGACAAAGCAAAGGGAGAGGCAGGTGGGGTAATAAACAAGAAGATAATGTGAAGAAAAACAGCTAGAGTAAAACCAAAGGAGATAAGACAAAGGTATAGAAACATAAACAAAGTCATCTCGTCTGAGAAACAGGTCACACACACCCCAACTGCTGCAGGTCTCTCTCAGCACCAGAGATGGGAAGTCCTGACTCTGAGCAAACCTGAGATCTAATGGGCATGGCAGAAAAAACACAAATATCCAGGAAACACCAGGATGACAAAGGATGTCCAAAGGGAATCACTTGATTTGTTTGTTTAAAAATATTTCCCACTTGGTTTTGACTTTTCTAATGTTTGGAGAGACACTGTATGCATGAGCATGAATTCATCACACATCAGTGTGCATGGGTATTTCTGGAAAGAAATAGAACTAGGAAGAAGGAGTTTAAAACAAATGAAAAGAGAATCATGTAGTGGTTAGTACCCATTCAACACTTCTTAACAGCTTTTGAAGGATAAGCAAGAGATAAAGTGTGTTCAGTTGCATAATTTGATGTCACATGAGGTAAGAAACTTATTTTCTACCCAAAGAAATCTCATGATAACCTCTAAGGGTTTTGTGACAAGGACTACTGCAGCACACCTGCAAGCCTACCATTAAATTCTTGTACTCACACAGAAAGCAGCATTTAACATCCACTGGGAACAGCAGAGTGTGTCAGCAGCAGAAATTGCATCTTAACACTACTGTCTGAATGGTTACTTATCCAGGCCTAGCCAAGAAGGGCAATACTCTCTTCATTATGCAACAAAGTGGAAGACAAACCATGTGAGCTGACTTCTTAACAAATGAGGACTGACAGCAACAGTGAGATGACATTCAGGATTGTTCATGCCTTTTCCAAACCTCATTGAGAAATGCAATCTCTGTCCTTGACCCTTCTGCTTGAATTACTGCATCACCTTGCAAAAGAAGCACAGCTTTGCTGGATTGCCCATCTCCCACTCTTCCCCCAGCTCAATGACCTCAGGCAGGGGATGGAACATCCAGTTTTCACCACACGTTACACAGACCAAGAAGCTTCACCTTTGGGTTTGTCAAGAAAGAAAGAAAGAAAGGGGAATGCTGTATTCTGACTGTCTGTCAGCTATTTGTCTCAAAGCTTCCCCACGTGGTAGGTACAATGTGAAATACAGAAACACCTATTTGTGCTCAAATCCTGGTCCCACCAGCACAGACAAAGGGAGCAACAGGCTGCAGAGTTAATGTGTATGATGCAACAGCAATGGTTCCAACCCAAAATCTGTGGACAGAGAGGAAAGCCTCAAGCTATACTCTGCCAGCTGACTAAACCCTGAAGACTCAATGCCAGTACACACTCCTGTGGCAGACTGGGCTGTCCAGCACACACATACATAGGAGCTTTCAGCAGCAGTTTCTAGGGGGACAGAAACATTGACGTGATGGATATTGGGGGTAGTTTACAGCTGAAGCTGGCACTGGTCCTACTAAATGTCCACTTGCTGTCCTGCAAAAAGCAATCCCAACTTTTAATTATAAATGGGCCTCAAGCTCTAAAATTTTCTTCCTCGATTACCCTACTAATCAGTCCATTATATAGTGTCATTATTGGTGACAGTGAGGACGTTAATAATCAAATGTCGAAAATGGATTCTCCCTGCTCAAAGCCATGGAACTGATCAGTTAAACAGAAGAACTCAGTATGTCAAAAATTAAATCCCACTGCAACTTTTCAAAACAAGACACTTTCCAGGAGCTTGTGAAATATATCTGCAGGTGAATCTTCTTTTAACATGAATGAAATGAGTCAAGAGGATTGCAGATTGTTTGTTTACTAACTGAATGTTCATCCCTCAAAGACTTTTCACACCCAGATGTGTATTCACCTGCTGTGAATCATTTTCAGTTGGGGTTATTCTCTTGGCCTGAGACAGGTGCCATTCAGCCCCACCTGGACAGGGAGGAGAGCAGTGACCTGCACCAAAGGACAAGTCTGAGCACAGTCAGGGACCTGAGAGACCCAGTGCTCTCAGGGCTAAAGACAGAACACTCCCACTTATTCAATCGCTTTATCAATGAAACCTCAGTTCAGTTTTGGATGGTTTTTCTCAAAGACAGAAGGATACAGAAGCTTTCCAGAGGTGATACAGCCAACATCTGCCAGGGCACACCTTGGTCTGGATAAATGCCAAATAAAATCTAAAGTGAGGATAAAGAAACAAACATTCATGAGTAACATAATAACTGTAAAATACCTGCTAAGCTTATGTCAAGTAATTAAGGCTCTTCCAAATTGCACGATCAGTTGTGAGATTGTTTCCAGGATTTTCAGCTATGTTTCCACTATTGTTGTAAAGCATCTCTGGGCTGCTTAACAAGGAGGAGTAATATTCCTTCTGTTTACTTACTGCCAAAGTCACATATTTGATGTATGTTATCCAAATGTCTCTTAAGACAAAGTTGTAATTTTCAGGATCTATCTGGAAAACAACACCCATACCAGAAGAAATGCAGAGTGTCATCTGTTTTCCTCCTGACAGAGAAGCCTCGTTACCGAAAAGTTCCTCACAGCAGCTAAAAGAATAAACTCCAACTTTCTGAAATTTTTCTCAAGTCTTGCAGTCTAAGATTTTGCTGATTCTGAAGGTTTTGTTAAGGGAGGGCAGAACTGTGGCTACCCCCCCATGACCTTCAGCCTCTGGTGTGTGAAGCACTGTCATTGCAGCATGGATTCTCCTCTAAACACTCCTCAGCTGCAAGTCAGCATCAAAAGACTCATCCTAAATTCAACAAGCATCCATAAAGGACACTCAAATTTGAGTTTAAGCTGCCTCCTCCTCCAACTCAACTTCTTACCCAACTCCATTGTCCTGGATGGTGCTAGTGCACCAAACAGGAGTCTGATTAGGCACAAATCCCTGCACAGTATTGTCAGGATTTGCCATTCTTGCCCCTACTCTTGAGAAATTTTTTATGAGCCAAGAGAAAATACCACAGCTCATTTCAAACTAATTGTCAGGAAATGGGGGCCAGAGGAGCATTGCAAATTCAATACTTACAGAGCAGACAACTACAAAGATAAACAGGCCTGAAACTTTTAGGAATTTTAGACAGCACCTGAAACACAAGAAACATGTAGTTACTATGCAGCCAGTTTAAAACAAATATTTTCTGTTCTCTTAATAGCTCTAACATTTCAGAAACAGCATGGCAAGTCCTTATGGGTGATAATATACCATGGACACCACAGCAGAGAGTCCATGAGGCTTGGGAAGGATGGTGACCACAAGGGCTCTGCCAGTTGGGTCTCCACACGGAACGGAGGCTTTGCCCCTTGGGAGAGCTAAGGGGAGGCTGCAGCAGGAGCTGGTGGTGGATCCTGGAGCCATTCTCTGCTGCTCTTGCTGTCTCCTGAGAGCTGCAGAGCCCCAGCAGCAATTCCTGGTCCCTCTCAGACAAGCCAAGGGGCATTGCCATCACAGGGAGGTGGCAGAGCTGCACAGAGAGCACTGCTCGGTGTCACGAGTGGCTCCTCAAAATGGACTTCTAATATACACCCTGAAAGTATTGTGGACAAAACTTCTAGAAGACAAGAAGCTTTTAGAATCCCCTGAGTTTAACAGTGTCTCTTTAAACCAAATATACTTCATGAGCACACTCGACTCACAAAACTGGACACTTCTTCCATAGCATGTCCCTGTGAAGGAATAACCACTCCTGGAAATGGGATGCCACCAAATCTGAAGCGTAAGAACTCACTACTGAGTGGGTTAAGCAAGAATAACCCTAAATAAAAATGGGGATGTTGAAAATACATGGTCTTGAGAAAGAAAATTTAAGCTTTAGCACTTTTAAATGAGCTTTTTTTTTAATCCTACCCTAAAAGACAACTCAACTAATCATTTTCTGATTGCCCATCAATATGCTACACAGATGTCTTCATTTACAGTACTCTTTCTGGTGATCTGCCCTGATTGCATCGTTTCATTAACTGAAAGCACCAATGTTCTTGTTCCATCTTTTCAAAAGTAAACAGTCAAACATTGTTTTTCTGACAGAATGACAAATGTAAAGTTCGATTTAAATCTGATGACAAGCAAGATGGAAAACATCTCAAGTTACTGACTTAAACCGGATGACAAGCAAGATGGAAAACATCTCAAGTTACCAGGATAATTAGTTGAAAAACAAATAGTGCTATAAAAAGCTTTATTGACAGATGCTATAGGACAAAATATTGAAGCAAAGTAGTCTGAAGAGTGTCAGAAACAATTTTTTTAATCATGGTGGAAATAATTCCCTAAATCAGTTCATTCAGAGAATCATAGAATTTTAGGGTTTGAATGAACCTTACAGCTCACCCAGCCCCAAGCCCTGCCCTGGGCAGGGACACCTCCCAGCAGAGCAGGTTGCTCAAGGCTCATCCAACCTGGCTGTGAACACTGCCAGGGTTGGGGCAGCCACAGCCTCCCTGGGCACCCTGGGACAGGGTCTCACCACCTTTATAGCAAAAAAATTTTTTTCACATTGGCTGAACACAGCAAAAACTACTGGAAACCCGTTTTTTTAAAGCATATTTTTCTAAAGTCGCTTCCTCTTTAGAATTTTCCAAACAGCAGCTAATAAAAACCTGTAGCTGATTAAAATGTGTTGCCACATACAAACTGGTACAAAGGATCTACATTACTCTGTGAAATACAAGTGGTGACAACTTTACACAGACTGCACAGCATGAAAATCCAGACGAGGCAGAAGAGGGGAAGGAATCCAGTTAGGTGACTGCACCTAGAAATGTCAGACTGCTCTGCCAGGCTGAAGAAACAGATGACAGTGAGGAGAAGAAGACAATAAAGGCTTGAAAAGGAAGGAATGACAACAAAGGCATTACCAGCACTGTTAACTTCTACTGGTGTTGTGTGATTTGTGGAAAATATCTAGAGCCACTTGAGCCATGCATCCTCTATTGTGCTTGTCTCTTCTTCCTTTCTCTACATCACAGTTTTATTCTGGTATTTCTGAGAAATTATTGTGCTATGAATTAATAAATCCTAGTCTAGCCTGGTTTAATTTTAATGTACCTGATATTTTTGTCTGCGCTTTGGAATTATAATTTCTAGCAATAATTCAAATTATTATTGAAAAAGAAATATCAATAACTTGGTTTTAAGACCCAAGATAAATAAAAAAGCATTAATTAATAATTTATAAATTCACAACCTCTTGTCTGTAAATAACAGAAACTCATCAAAACGAGATGGGAAGATTGAATAAAAAAAGGGTTTGGAAATGGTTATTTTATTAAATGTAGAATTTATAAGGGTCTTTTCCTGCCATCTGTTTGTTTTCATGGCATTCTTTTATTAGGGAAGCAGCACTTTTAACAGCTCTTGAGCCACCCATGGTTTGCAATCTGTCTCTCCCTGCAGCCTAGAGGCCAAACCCTGGGCCAAACCCTGCTCTGATTTATGTGCCTCCAGCACAGTCCTGTTTGCCTGGAGCTGGGAATGCACAAAGTGTAAATTTATGAAGGATTTCACTCCTTCTTCTAAACCAAATGATTGTTAGCCTGATATGCATATGGTGTGGGGCAGTTTGACTTCATTTGCTATCTCAGCAGAGTGATGCTGATTTACCACAGCCAAGGAGCTGATCCCATATGTACAACCCTCACTGTGGCAATGAGAAGATTTCAAGGCAAGCTCTGCCAGAAAGATGTGTTCCTCCTCAGATTATAAACCTGTGCTGTACAATCGATTCCACATTCCCAGATGAGACCTTTGCTCCTTCAAATACCAGGGAAGTCCACCACAAATGTGAAGAAAGACACTGCCCCAGGTTACAGTGCAGGGTGTAACCATTGGTGCGTGTTCTCTTATGGTCTCCACGAGCTGTTACAGCAGGTGGGGCAGTGCTGTTGTCTCCTCACCCCTGATGGCTCCTCAGGGGCTGGCTCTGTTTAATGGGCTGCCAGGGACCCAGGCATGGCACAGAGAATTACATGGTCCCATTGGGAGATGCTTCACCCCAGGTGGGGAGCCAAGCATTGCCACAGGGATATAATCTGGGGGTTGGACCAGCACAGAGCCCTTGGCCTGCTGGATTCCCAGAGGACAAGAGCTGCCACTGGACCTTCAGGTGAAGACCAGATCTACAGGATCACTGCTCTAACAGACCTATCACTCTAGGAGGACTGCAGCCAAATGCAAGCCCACCCAAGACCAAATGAAGTCCAATCCAAGGCCAAAAGAAGGCCCATCCATGGCCAAATGAAAACCCAACCAGGGCCAAATGAAGTCCAATCCAAGACCCAAAGAAGGTCCATCCAAGGACCATCTAAGGCCCATGCGTGGCCAAAACAAGGCCCATCCAAGGCCAAAACAAGGCCCATCCAAGGCCAAAACAAGGCCCATCCAAGGCCAAAACAAGGCCCATCCAAGGCCAAAACAAGGCCCATCCAAGGCCAAAACAAGGCCCATCCAAGGCCAAAACAAGGCCCATCCAAGGCCAAAACAAGGCCCATCCAAGGCCAAAACAAGGCCCATCCAAGGCCAAAACAAGGCCCATCCAAGGCCAAAACAAGGCCCATCCAAGGCCAAAACAAGGCCCATCCAAGGCCAAAACAAGGCCCATCCAAGGCCAAAACAAGGCCCATCCAAGGCCAAAACAAGGCCCATCCAAGGCCAAAACAAGGCCCATCCAAGGCCAAAACAAGGCCCATCCAAGGCCAAAACAAGGCCCATCCAAGGCCAAAACAAGGCCCATCCAAGGCCAAAACAAGGCCCATCCAAGGCCAAAACAAGGCCCATCCAAGGCCAAAACAAGGCCCATCCAAGGCCAAAACAAGGCCCATCCAAGGCCAAAACAAGGCCCATCCAAGGCCAAAACAAGGCCCATCCAAGGCCAAAACAAGGCCCATCCAAGGCCAAAACAAGGCCCATCCAAGGCCAAAACAAGGCCCATCCAAGGCCAAAACAAGGCCCATCCAAGGCCAAAACAAGGCCCATCCAAGGCCAAAACAAGGCCCATCCAAGGCCAAAACAAGGCCCATCCAAGGCCAAAACAAGGCCCATCCAAGGCCAAAACAAGGCCCATCCAAGGCCAAAACAAGGCCCATCCAAGGCCAAAACAAGGCCCATCCAAGGCCAAAACAAGGCCCATCCAAGGCCAAAACAAGGCCCATCCAAGGCCAAAACAAGGCCCATCCAAGGCCAAAACAAGGCCCATCCAAGGCCAAAACAAGGCCCATCCAAGGCCAAAACAAGGCCCATCCAAGGCCAAAACAAGGCCCATCAAAGGCCAAAACAAGGCCCATCAAAGGCCAAAAGAAGGTCCATGCATGACAAATTGAAGGGCCTTTCCCCATTCAGGTTGATTTCTGACTCTGTCAGTGGTTTCTTTTTGTACTGTTGCATTTATTGTTTTGTTCTTATTAAATAGTATTTCTGACTTGGAGTTTCTCACTGGTTTGCTGTCAAACCAGCACAGACACCTGCCCAACTGCTTTGCATACGTTCATACTGCACTAATTGCAGCCACAGGAATTCTCCTGCTCTGTCTGTTCAGCAGCAGTACAGGAGAGCAGCACTCCACACAATACATACACACAGTGAAAGGAGGAAAACAATTGTATTGAGCTAAGACAACACACAGATTGGGAAAAGATGCACTGACATCTCGTTGGAGAAGCTCCTTGGGTCAACATGGACATGTGACATGTAATGCTGAGATCCATGAAAACCTGCAGAGCTATTTGCAGACACCAAACCAAACTAGGAAAAGTGCTGAAGCTCTGGAAGGGGCAGAGGAAATTAGTATCCAGAATTAAAGGTTTTGCTAGTTAAATCCCCAGCAAAAATATCCTGAGAAAATTTGAACTTAAGTTCTTTTCACAACTCTATCTTTGAATTTATTAATGGATTTAATTTCCTCCATACCTAAATGAGGTATTAGACTACTTTGAGGTAAAGAGAGAAATATATTAATGTAGTTCAAGATAGAAAAATCCTCAGTTATGTTTTGCTTTGTGTGTGTGTGAAAAGCTACTATAATGACTACAGAAAGACTATTAGATACATATTTTAATTAAAGTGAAGCAACGAACCACTGAAGAAAAAAAGCTGTGGAATCAATGAAGGAACTTTTAAGAAATGGTTTCAAAGAAATGCTGAAAGAAATACAGAAGGTATTTAATAACAACTGTAGAATAAGTGCTATGATTGATGCTTGTAAGAACAAGGGGCTATTGATCATTAGGTGGAGCCTGTAATCAATTTCACCAGGGTTTATTTCTAAACTATCAGTGGCAAGACATAGTCTAAATATGGAGTGCTATTTTATTAGTTTTCATAAATAAATCATTTTCTAGACATCGATGCTTAAAAACTAACACCTGTATCAATTATTAAAAAAAAGGAAAAATAAATAAATGAATATTTGAATTCAGACCTCATCTTTGATAAATTGAACTTGACATGAAGGCTGTCCAATATTTCGTATTTCTCAGAAGAAGCTGATCTGGACAAACTTGTCATTTCACTTCCCAGTTGAAACCTTTGCTCAAATTCTGCAGAGCTGTTGTCCCATGAGTCGTCGTCTGTGGTAAAATCTGGATTATGAAGAGCCATGCACTGCAACCTGTCACATGTTCAGTAAACATAACAAAACAAAACAGTGTTTTATTTCAACAGGTAGTGGATGCAACTGACCTTGTAGAACCTTAGGTTCACTGTGAGGGATTTTCATGGAAAAATTCATAGAAAGATTTCTTTAGTACAGACTGAGCTCCCCTTGGTGCCACAGCTGGGTGGACTGGGAGGCAAGAACAAGGACCTCATGACATTTAGATGAACCTGAAAGAACAAGCTCTCCCACCCAACAGCCAGATGTAGCTCAGGATTTGGTGTGTAAACTCCATAATAAGGACCTTTCCTACAGCTCTGCTGTGTCTTTCAGTGCTCCTGAAGTATCATCACAAGAAGGAAATAAGAGCACACAACCTGCACTTACCTATCCTTAGGGCTCTCTAATCACTCTGACCTCAGACCTTACATCCTTCCCTTCCCTATTTACAGCCTTTCTCTCCTCTCAGGCTCCTCCAGAGTAATTCTTTGCTTACAACCCCTGCCATTCACTTTATTTCCCAGCAGGTTTGGTGTCAGGATATAAGAGAGAAACACACACAATTAAATAGAAGAGAGCTTAAGGAAAAAATATTTTGAGTAAAATGAAAGCAACTCACCCATTTTCCTCTGAGGAAACCTTCAGTAGTGGTGTCTTCTCTGTAAAACCAGTGTTTTTTGACCTTGAGCTGAATAATTTGGAAAAATTGAAGTGATATCTTTGGAGGGGAAAAAAACAACCAAACAAAAACAAGATAGTAAGTCTGCAGTGAAATGATTCTCTACACTTCTAGGGAACATTTGCTACAAGGGAATCTAACTAATTAAATATTCTTTAAGAATGGTGTTCACCTAAATTATGGGTTTTGTTAAATTTGAGCTAATTGTGGTAGTGACTTCCCTATACTCACAGGAGACTCATTCATATAAGTTTACACTAGCATACTTTATAAAATATAAAGTAATAGGAAGAGCTATTTTTCATAAATGTCTTTTGAGACATGGATCACCATCTGCAAATCCACTCATCTCTACAATAACCTTGGCACCCTTAGTATTAGGGAAGAAACTTTATCTGAAGTGCAAGTCCTTCACTCCTGCAGCACAATCCCTGCCAAACACTCTGTCAAGTCTTGGTCCTGGTGCTGCAGATAATTAAACTGAGAGTAAGTTACTCCTTGCCGTGTTGCATCTTAGCATTGTTAAGAAGCTTTTTGCTAAAGCATAAATCCCAAAGCTTAAGAAACATCTGAAGAAAATCAAACACCATCACAGAGGGCAGAATTCTGGGGCAGACTCAATAACTGAGCCATTTTAGAACACCCTCCCAAGACCTGGCTCTTCCTGAGACATTTTCCAGCAAAATCACAGTTATTCAGACACACTCAGATTTATTCCATTCAAAACTGCAACCACCCACCACCAGAAAATCTTGAAGAAATCTATTAGACATACAGCCAAAATGCAGATCTCATTACTCCCAAATACACTTTGAGGAAACCTGAAATGTCTTCTACTATTGATGGAGTGTGAGAGGAAAGAAAGTATAAAATCATAGACAACTAAGTAAACACACAAACATGACTAGTAATTCAATCTTCTAAAGATAGGGCCAGTCCAAAATGAAGGATCTGTGTATTTGACTTTAGAACACAACGGAAGACAGTGGAATTCCTTGTGATTGGTAGAGATATGTGTGAACTTCAACTCAATAAAGTGAAAGGCTCCACTTAATGTTTCAGTTTGCTTGTAAAGTAGTGTTTTCATTCAGAAGACGTGCTAGAATTGGAGCAACTGGATATGGCTCTGCCAGCCTTGAGTGGCCATGACACTCATTCAAACTCTGCAGTCAGCACAGCATTTTCAGTCTCGACAGAAGAGAATGAATGACTTCTAGAGATTCAATTATCCATTAGCTTGGGCCAAATGTTGGGCCAGTTACAGCTCAGGTGCTGCACTGCACTGACATTTCATCTGTGAAGAGATGATTGCATACTCTGAAGCTGTCCAAGTGCCTCCGTTTTTAAACAGGAGATTAGAATTCACAACAAAAAAATTTAAGTGGAAGGAACTCATATTTTGAAGCAAGAGCTATTCTAATCTTACGATAACCTTAGATGTAAAGGACTACCTAAAGCTTTTACAAAATGGAACCTATAAAGATAGCAAAAATGCTATCAGGATGTTAAATGTGTGCTCACCAGGAGCTGCTGATAAGCTCCTGGCTATTCCAGCATCCACTGCATTCAACGTCTGCATCCAAAGGGGAAACTTCTGATAACAGTTCTGACTGTGAACCTTGAATTTGTGTGTTCAGAAATTTAACTCAGGTGAAGACCAATGAGCTGTTTCTGCTTCAAATAACATATACTATATGCTACTCTGACCTAACCTCACATTGTGCACATCATCACACTTCCTTTTCTTCTTTTCCTTGTAGAACATGTGCACAATCTGAGACTAGTAACCAGAAAACTTTCTACAAAAAACTTCCATTTTCTTCTAAATGTTAGGCTTTGATGCCAACACTGCTTTGTGTTGATGAGTACGTGTATATCCACTAACACTTCCCACCTCAGCAGCTCTTCACCACGAGTGGAAGTGACCAGTGTGAGAAAAGTGCTGAAGGGCAAAGCACAGGAGTGGCAATCAGAGGGAGAGGATAGGGTTTGGTGGAAGGTGGTTTAAGTGTCAGACCCTGAGATGAAGGCTCCAGAAGGCTACCAAAGACATCACCCTCACTTTCTTTTCACATCTTTCTCAACCTCACTTGCTGGTATAAGTCCTGCCATGTTTAAATGGAACTGAGGGGCTGAACAGATTTCCAAGGATTAGTAAGATGATAAAAATGGAAGAGATCTTCAGAGAAAGTGAAAACAATTAGTATACGACAACATCAATTTGCAGAGAATAAAAACACATGGATGAGAATAACCAGCAGGAAACAGCCAGGCTTGACAAAACAAAAATAATTAGAGAAAAAGCAGAAGAGCCTCAACTCCCTCATGATGTGATTACTCTAATTAGAGAATGAGAGTAATATAAACAATAAAGCTAATTAGGGCATACAAGAATCCTGAAGGCTGAAAGCTCTAGAAAGAAAAGTTGTAAAAAAAAAATGAAAAATAGCATGGATTATAAAAATGAAAATCATCCCTGAACAAAGAACCTAAGTCAAGCCTCTCTGTGCTCCTCAGACTTCTGCTGAGACACTATTGGTGCAATTTGGTCATCCACTTAATCAGAAGAGAACAGAGATCATCTGCATCAAAGCCTAGGAAAGCCCAAAGACCTCCTGCTATTAGAGGAACACATCTGCAATGTTCTGAAACCCTCTCACCATTATTCTTGGTGCTCCTCAACTCTGCAGACAGTTGGCAATTCTGACACTGTGTGAATAAGGGAAAGAAATCCTTGGGATACATTTCAAAACCTAGGATTAGTTTATACTTTGGATGTTTCTTCACAGTCAAAAGAGTTAGAAACTTTGGTTATATCCACACAGTAGAATGGAGTGCAATCCATCCCTACTGAGCAATTCAACATTACCAAGAGGCTAATCATCGAGACAGCTCATTAACCCGTTCACAGGCTGCGGAGGCTGCTCTGGATTTCTGTTATGTGCAGGTGAGGAGCTGGTGATCTGGATATCAGTGGTGTTCTCTGTTCTCTCATGGTTCAGTTCAGACTCTAAAATGACCAGCATTTTATACATCAAATATGAGACTCACAGAATAGTTTGAGTAGCAAGGGACCTTTTAAATGTCATCTAGTTCAGCAGACCTACAATGAGCAAGGACATCTTCAACTGGATCAGGTTGCTCAGAAGAGAGATGAAATAATTGCATTTTCAAATGCATACATTTATATTTAAACATGCATAGAGATCTTCACACACACAAAAATTAACATTAGCATTTCTCTTTCATTCAAAAATGATGGGAGCAAGCTAAAACCAAAACCTATGAAAAAAGAGTATTTTTTGGTAAGGATTTCTTCAAAGACTTGCAAATCATCACTCATACAGAAAGATCCATGTAGAACTGACATCAGAAACAGAAGAGCATGTCCTGCCTGTTGGGGTCACATTCATTCTCACGTTTGCTGCTGCTGGGCATGGCTTTGTTTTTTTAAATCAGAGAAATTTTTCAAACAGGAGATAGTGTTCTCAAGCACGTGGCTGCTGTTGTGGCAGTCATATATAGAGATTTTGTCTCTCTCTGCAGGAGCACAGGTTTGTTCCAAAGAAGTGTGTCTTCTGAGCTGGTTATTGCAGTCCAAGTCATCCTTTCCCATCGCTCACCTTTCAAGCAATTGCAATTTCTGCCTGTCTGCATAGTCACCTAGAGTAAGGACCAGCATGGTAGCAGATGATACAGCATGTTCTGCCAAGTCATGGAGATGTCCACAGGTGAAGTTCCCATTGCCTGGCAGTAGATGTAGAAGGACCTCACCCACAGCGTTAAAAAATACGCTGGTCCAGTTCCAAGCCTTGGGCATCTGTCACAGAAGTCTCCACAACCTGTGGCTGTGCCAGAGCTGCCACAGCTGAACAAGGGTCACACAACCCTTCTGGGGCATACAGCACACCACTGTTTTGGTGGCACACAACACATCACTCTTTC